GTTTTATTTAACAAACAGGTTGAGTGGCAAATACTCAACTATTCTCGATGCTTTATCATTAATAACTTATTTCATCCTTGGCAAAACTCTTTGACGTAGGTACTGTTATTTTCATTACCAACCCCATTTTGCAGATGAATAAACTGAGGCACAGAAAGCTTAAGTAACTTGCCCAAGGTCACACAGGTGACAAGTGGGAGAGCTGAGATTTTAGCCTTCAAGGGTGAAGATATAAGCACATGTTTTAATGTCCCATGTCCTTGCCTTTTGTCTACAGGTTCACATGCGATGACGCAAAGGGTAAATTCTTGGAGGTGGTCTTGCAGGTTAACAAGGTGCATTTAAATTCAGCTGTCACAAGGGACCAGGAGCTGATCAGGGAATGTCCTGCTGCAACCCTGGCCAAGTGAACGTGAGCCCCACTAACCACTGCCACTCCTACCCCCACCCGCATCCCTTGCCAATGAGGCAGCTGCAGCTGGTCTGAGCAGAGAGGCCGGAGCCCACACTGGGCTCTTTGTCTTCAGTGGGAACCCTGCAGCCCCCACGGCCCCTCTCAAGGGCTCACTGTCCCAGTACCAGCAGGGCCTCCCAGGGGCCAGGCCCGGCTGGGAAACTTGGCACGATGGCGGCCCCTTGACTACTCTGCCAACTGGGCATACAGAACCACTCAGGAATCATTCCCACTGAAAAGAGTGGCGAGGTGTAGGTCCATGTCTAAGGGGGTGCAGCAGCCCAGATGTGGCTGGAATCCAGGCCCCAGCCCAGGCCCGGGCACAATCCCACAGCCCAGGCCTAGCTCTTCAGTCCTCTACCTCACTGCCTCCCACCTCTGAGAGCCCCTGCTGCTGCTGCCTCTACTTAGAAAGGAAGAAGGGAGGGAGAAAAGGAGGGAGGTAGGGAGGGAGGGAGGGAGGAAGGAAGGAAGGAAAGGAGGGAGGCTGGGAGGGAGGGAGGGAGGAAGGAAGGAGGGAAAGAAGGAAGGGAGGGAGGGAGGGAGGAAGGGAAGGAGGGAGGAAGGAAAGAGGAAAGGAAGGAAGGAGGGAAGGAGTGAAGGAAGGAGGGAAGGAAGGAGGGAGGGAAGGAAGGAGGGAAGGAAGGAAGGAGGGAAGGAAGGAAGGGAAGGAAGGAAGGAGGGAAGGAAGGAGGGAAGGAAGAAAGGAGGGAAGGAAGGAAGGAGGGAAGGAAGGAAGGAAGGAGGGAAGGAAGGAGGGAAGTCAGTTCCTCCCTTCTCAGGCAAATCTTGGTGCTCCCAGGACCCACCCCTCAGGAGCCCTCCCAGGCTGCTCCCCACACTGCCCTGGCATGATTCCTCCCCCCAGGAATCTGCAGCCTTGGTCAGAGCAGAAGGGGCCCAGCCTAGGCTCCAGAGCACCTTGCAAGGGGGAGCCAGACCCTCCCCTGAGGGCTGAAAACCAAGGGACATAGTCCTGGGAGTGAGGAAATATTTGCCCTTCCCAGGCTTTGAACCCTACAAGGGACTGTTGATGACTCCTGCACCTCCCAGAATGTGCAGAGAAAAGGTCGTGAGTGGGAGCCGAGTGGCGGCTGAGGGCAGATTCCCAAGAGAGAAGTAATTGGTGTGAGCTAGGATCTCAATTTCTTCATGTCTGAAGTGGGGAAACTGCAGGGCCACCTACCCTGCTTAGGTGAGACAAACTGCGGGGACCGATACCCAGACTCGTCGTTTCCCAGGGATGCTGGAGCTCCTCAAGCCCAGGCCCGGGTCCCAGGTGGAACAGCTCCCGAAAGGCTTCTGAAGAATCCCTGCCGCCCTGTCCTTGTGCCCTTGGTCATCCTTCCTCCCTTATCCCGGCTACATCTGTGCCTGCAGTTTGCTTAAACAGAAAATCCCATAGAAAACCTCGAGACTGTGGGGGCCTCCTTGGCTGCAGGGTCTGGGGGAATGATCTCACCTTCTACTGGGGGGGAGAGTGGGTGTTGGGATGGAGGGCAGTGTGCCCTGGGGTCGGGGCTAGTGACCCGGTGTCTGGGGGTACATCTCCACTTGGGTAGAGAAACAGCTTACTGTGGGGAAGAGCACTGGACTGTGAACTCTGGGCAAGCTGGGTACAGAAGAGGGACTTGGAGTGTTTAAGTGAACGAGAGAACCTGCTGCAGAACTCAGAGCCCAGTTCCCTCTAAAGGCTGGGACCTGGGCTGCAGGAGTTTCCAAGAGTGGGGAGTGGGGCATCTCCACCCCTCCCCTTTGCTCCCCCTCCTCACTAGGGCAAAAGGTAGCGGGGTTCCTGGGAGAAGGGGAGACAGGTCGGCAAGGAGCGGCTATTGGAGACTGTTCTTCCTTCACCGGTTCGGTCGTGGGAAGGGCTGAACGCCTGTCCCCGCTGCAGAATTCCTGTAGCCGGCATTTATTAAGCGTCTGCTGTGCGCCAGGGCCTGGGCCCAGTGCTTTACGTGCATGAATCCCACTTTACGGATGAGAAATTCGAGGGACAGGGAGGGGTGGGACATGCCCGCTGTGCAGACCCAGGCTTCCGAGGTCTCGGCCCGGCCGGGAGGGAGCACCCAGCTCGTGATGCTGGGGACTGATGCGCCGAGGAGCGCAGCGGCTCGAGGGGGCGGGAGGAGGGCCTCCCCCAGCAGAGGGTCTGCGGCCCCGACGGGGCGCGGCGGCGGCGGGGGAGGAAGGGGGTGGGGGAGGGGCTGCCCCGAGCCCCGCACCCCACGCCGTGCCGGGCCCGGCTCGGAAAGTCCCGCGAAGCCCCCGCCCGGCCGGCCCAGGGCGGCGCGAACAAGCGGCTCTTTCTGCGCCAGCGGCCCCCGGCAGCTGGACCGCTGCCCGCGGGGGCGCGGACGGACCCGAGCTGGGGCGGGGGCGGGGCGGCCGCGTTGCCAAGGTGACCCGGGCGCGGGAAGGCGGCTCCGGCTCGCGCGGGCCGGGCCGGGCGGCGGCGGCGACACCATGAGCGGCCGGAAGCGCAGCTTCACCTTCGGGGCCTACGGCGGGTAGGGCGCGGGGCGGGGCGGGTCGCGTGCGCGCGTGTGTGCGCGCGTGTGCGTGTGCGCTCGTGGGGGGAGCCTGTGCGGGGCGTGCGCGCGCTCGGGCGGGTGGGTCTGGGCTGTGACTGCTGTGGGGGCTGAGCGTTTGACCTCAATGCGCGCATGGCTGTCGTGTTGCGGCGCCTGAGTGTGTGTGTTTGTGTTTCTGTGTGTGTTCCCATTGCGAGTCCCTGTGCGTGTGTGGGGAGGTGAGCGCGGGATGGACACTGCCGTGTTTGTCTAAGCACACGACAGTGGCGCTTATGTGTGTTACTGGGGCTGCGGGGTTTACTGGGCCTGTGTGTGCGCGTGCATGTGTGCGCGCCTGCTCACATGTGTAGGTATGCGGGAGTGGGGGCAGGCAGGTCGGGGAAGGCTCTGCTGGAGCTCCCACTTTGCCTCTGCAGCTGCTGGGCCCCTCCATGAGGCTCTGGATAAAGGGACTCTAGAAGCCCTTAGCAGGCCCTGCCCACCCTGGGCACCAGTCTGCCCTCCTTCCTGCGTCCTGGCTCTCGGGAACCCCCTCCTCCCTGGGCTACTGGCTGCCTGGGCTTGGAGGCTTGGAGGAACTCAGAGTAGCAGCAGGTTCATCTTGGGGTCCAGGGTTGCAGAGGTGGGATGGGGATTTTTGCCTGTTGCAGAGATTTGGCAAATAGGAGGCAAGATGGGTTACACAGAGTGGGCCCAGAGCGCCTGCCCAGCCAGACAAGTGGATCCGTGACCTTCCCTAGGCCCTGCCTCCCAGCAGTCGGAGAGACCCACAGGACTCACCTTGGGGCGTGGCGCTCTGGGGTTTGTTTGTGGGCATAGTCAGTGCTCTCTGAGCTATGGGGATTGTGTACAAGCTGCCTCCCCCTTGTGGACACTCAACTTCTGAGGGGACCCCAGCAGAGGGGTGGGGTGGGGTGGAGGCCAGAGGTTATCCCTTGATCTGGGGTCTTGCTAGCTGTCAGGTGACAGGAGGAGCCGGGGCTGGGCCCTGAGTTTCCTGGCCAGCCGACACTGAGGGGCAGCTCACAGGCTGGGTCCTGTTCTGTGACCTTGGGCAAGTCCTGGCCTCTTTGGCCTCCCTGTCTGCAGAGTCAGCCTTCCCCATCAGCTGTCCCTGGGAGCCCCCAGCCCTGCCCTCTGGAGGATGCCCCTCACTGGCAGAGTCGGGCTGGGCTCCCTCCTCATCCCTTTCTTGCCTCTGGGCAGGAGGTGAGTTGTTTGTTGTCCCAACAGCTGGACAACAAACTGCAGGGGCCCAACTGTCAGATTAGGGACATGGGAAGGGACAACAAACTCAGCCCCTGCCCCCAGCAGCACCAAGGTGCCCTCAGAGGGCAGTGGGAGAATCGGGGGTAGGGAGCTACTCACACATGCTCCCTGGGGCTGGATCTGGGAGGGCTTGGGGGAAACAAAGTCTGGGGTACCCCTGAAGGTTTTGGGGAGCAGGGTATGTGTGTTGGGGTGAAGGTGGGGGGAAGCTCCACCTAGATCTCCTCCCAGATTCACAGATATTTGCTTCCTGGGTATCCACCAGGACGTGAGTGAATAGTTTCAGGATTGAGACAGGCTACAGGCCTTGGGTCTGATGTTCTTTCTGCCCACCATAAACCATAAACATCCAGCAAACTGTTCGATCCTGCCTGGAAAGGCTCTAAGCTAGCCCCAACCGTACCCCTACATCCTTGCCATGATCCAAACTGCTGTAGTCACTGTCCTACTCCACCTGTCCCCCCACCCCTGCTAACACCCCACAGCCTGCCCCCCTACCCACTACCCCCAGTCCTGCCTCTTTTCCTGGCACCTTAACCCCTATGCCTTCCCATGTCCTTAATCTGACAGTTGGGCCCCTGTAGCCTAAGGGTGACAGTGACTGCATCAGGCATCCTTAGAAACAAGACCTTCTCCAGTCCCTCTGGGAGGGTGGCGCAGTGCAGGTGGGGCTGATGTTTGGGGCCAACCTGACAAGTAGGGGTGTCCCCTCACCTATGGTCCCTCTTGCTGTGTTTCAGGGTGGACAAGTCCTTCACCCCTCGCCGGAGTGTGTGGTGAGTACTGGGGACTCTCAGGAGGGCCTGGGCTGCCTTGGCTGGTCCCTGTAGATACCCCCAATCCATTCCCACCCCTTCGATGCCAGATCTCGCCAACCCTCCAACCATCCTCTCAGGGAAAGGGGGTGGGCAGACTTTCTTACCAGGTCTGTCCCCAGAGTACTTTCTAGAGAGCTTTGGAGGCAGGCAAATCAAGTTTGCATCATCACTCTGCCACTGCCTGTGTGACCTTCAGCAATTCCTTAACCTCTGTGAACCTCAGTTTTCTCATCTTTGAAATGGAAATGAAAATGCCCATTTATAGGATGTAAAGTAAAAAGAACAAAAACAAAACCTGGACCTGGCATATTTCAGGCCTTTGCTAAAATGCTTTCTTCCTTTTGTTCTTCTCTATTTCTTCCTACCTCAGGGTGGTCCCTCACTTGGCTAGGGGTGCCCTTAGCCTTTACCGACCCCAAATCCTCTAGTTACCGTCTCCCACAGCCCTCAGAACCCCCACCTCCCATATTTCCTGTGTCTGGGGCTGCCCTCTCTTTGGAGGAGTAGGGAACGAGGCAGCTGTGTCTGCAGCTTTCCAATACCAAGAGGCAATTGGTAGAAGCGCAGCCTCACCTTGGGATACACCGTGGCACCCTGATGCCCCAGGAGGTGGGTCCTTCCCAGCTTCCCTGACATCAGCATCACATGCGCCTGGATGGCCTCTCCTGCTGCTGCTTCACCTCCAGCAGGAAGCCCCCCGATGGCTCTGGCTGCCACTTTCTGCCCCTGCTCAGGGCTTCCTGGGGTCCGTGGGTCCTGCAGTACCCCCAGCTGCTGGATGACTTCCATCTGGCACCATTGCACCCTGCAGGGCCCTCCTGGGAAGCCAGGCCTGGGGTGGGAGGTACACAGGGTGCCCCGACTGAGCTCCTAGCTTACCTTTCTATTTGCCTTTGATGCCCTCCATGCAACCTCAGGCCACTTCTTCTCCCTTTCTGGGCATCATTTCCTGCAAAATGGTGTGCTATGCTCAGAGCAGGGGCAGACTGAAGGGAGATACAGGCAGAGGTAAGGAAGGTGCCATCCTTTCCTCCAGGGAGTTTAGTAATAACACCACTGACAACTGCCACTTGTTGTCGGGCACCTGCTGTGTACTGGGTACTGCACTGGGTGCCTGACATGTGTTATCTCATGTAACTTTGACTACATCTCAGAGTTAGGGACTATTATCTCTAATTACAGACAAGAACAATGGAGCCCGGAGTGGGAAAACGAGTTGCCCAAGGTCACACAGCAGTTGGGATTCAAACCTTGGTCTTCCAGACTCTGTGCAGAGCCCAGAGCCTCACCTCCTCTGTTCCAGGGCGACCAGGCCACAAGGAGGGTCTGAACGAAGGATGCACTTGAGGGAAGACTCAGAGGGCCACCCAGGAGGCCCACCCTAGGGAGCCCTAAGCCAAAGAGACGAAGGCCCAGGACTGATTGTAACTGGCCAGCTGTGTGACTTTGGGCGAGTCCCATCCCCGCTCTGGGCCTCAGTTGACCCCTCTATCAAGTAAATATCGGCCATTCCCCCAACACACCCCATTACCCACAATGCCTTGCCCGTACCCGCCTAGCTGGGGCCGCTGTCCAAGGTGCTAACCCCTAGGTCCTCCCTTCCCAGCTGCCAAAGCCCGTCGTTTAACTCCATCCCCTGCTTGGCATATGGTTAGCTCTCAGTCGACGGTGGCCATTTTGATCATTAATCATGATCTCCTGGCACTCAAGGCCTGTCTCCACCTCCCTTTCTAGTTTGGGGCTCGCTTCTCCCGTGCCCTGCATTTCTGATCAACAGGAACATGGCCCTAATCAGCTTCACCTCCTCTTTACGTCCCTCTACTTCCATTTCCAGAGGTCCTCGCCACACCTCCAGCCCACCTTTGTCACTATTTGTTGGGTGTTTTCTTTCTTGATCCCCACATCCCCGTTCTTTCTTTAAAACGCCTCTTCTGCTGCTATAGAGCACACGTTCTTGAGTGTTCCTGGGGTAGGGGAAAGAGCACAGACTTCGGAGTCTGACAGGTGTGGACTTGAATCTGCCTCTGCCACATTCTCCTTGTGTGACTCTGGCAGGTCAGTTTCCCTCTCTGGGCCGCACTTGGTGCTCAATATGTGCTTGTGGAATAGGGTGTCTCAGGGAGCTGACTTCAGCTGAGCTGCGTATGTTGACCTACCCCTGCAGTGCATAGCAGGCTCTGAACGCCTTCAAAGCAGAGGTGCTTGAGTCACTTTTTGTTTTTTTGGAGACAGGGTCTCACCCTGTCGCCCAGGCTGGAGGGTAGTTGGCTCACTGCAACCTCCACCTCCTGGGTTCAAATGATTCTCTTGCCTCAGCCTCCTGAGTAGCTGGGACCACAAGTGTGTGCCATTACTCCTGGATAATTATTTTTGTGTTTTTGGTAGAGACAAGGTCTCACCATGTTGACCAGTGTGGTCTCAAACTCCTGAGTTCAAGTGATCTGCCCACCTTGGCCTCCCATTGAGTCACATTTGAGCTCAACTTAGCCTCAGTTTCTCCTGTAAAGGCCAGGCTGTACTTTTCTCCTGTCTCTATCCTCCACATGGTCTTGTGCAACTACCATGCACATAAATGCTTAATGCTTGTGGAATTGAATTGAATGTGTTCAGTGAGGGGAATGAGTAAAACCTTGTCATGAGGCTGGGAAGGCTTCCTGGAGGAGGTGATTTTTATCACCCCTTTACAAAACAGGATTAAGAGGTTAGGGCTTGAATGAAGGGAGCAGTGAGTCCTGGTAGAGGCCAGATGTGATCATGGCTGAGTTCCCCTAGGCATCTCCAGCCCCCTCAGCAGGTTGTCTGAAGTAGAGGAGCTCAGTAGGTGTGCAAATGCAAGAGGAAGGAGGCCCAGTGTGAGAGCTGGGAGGCACTGTTGGGGACAGTGGGTGACTCTGGTTCTGCAGCCCTAAGGGACCGAGATGTCCTAGAATGGGGGCTGGACACCGAGATGGAGCAGTGTCAGCATACAGGAATGGCTAAGTGGACTTGCATAAGGCAGGAGGGTTCTGAAAATACCCCTGGGAAGAGGAGAGTCAACTTTGGCCTTAAAACTGGGAGCCTGGGAGGTGGAGGCAGAACCAGCAAGGATAAAGAGCTGACAGCGTACCAGGCATTATACCCTGGAGGTTTCACTAAATCATAGCATCGGTCCTGCAGTTTGGCCAGTAGTTCCCAGTTTAGAGGTCAAAACCAAGACTGAGAGTGGTGGAGGCTCTGGCTTAGTCACAGCTTGTGAGAGTTGGATTCGAATCCAGCTCTTTCTTCTGCCGAGGAAGGGATTTTGGTCAGAGGTGGTGAAGCTGCAGAAATGGGGAAGGTCTTGGTTATGGGGTAAGGGAGGAGGGAGGAGTGAAGTAGCCCTGAATGCCAGCCAAATGGGAGTCCCTGCTCAGCTCCATGTGTCCTGCTGGGAAGCCCCATCTGTGTGCTGAGATGTTTCCTCCTCACAGAATTGGTGCCAGTCGCTCCCATAAATGGAGCACTTCCTGTATCCCAGGCCCTGGGCCAAGCACTTCCCTGAATCATTTCATTCCATCCTGACACCAGCCTTACAGAATACTGTCTGTCCCTTACTACTGTCCATCCCCGTTTTACAGATGAGGAAACTGAGGCTCAGAGCGAGGAAGTGGTGGCCCAGGGGCATGCAGTCAGTGAGGGGTTGACCAAGACTGACAGCGATGCCACTCTGAGCCCGTGCCTTTAGCCCTTGCTCTCCTGAGTGCTGCTTGTACTGAGTGGTGGGCTGGGGTAGGTGGCCCTGTCCTCAGGTGGCTCCCTGTGGTGATCACTGAGCCGGAGGCCCCGGGACCAGCATGCTGCTGCAGGAAGCACGAGGCTGGCCTCATTAGTGGCTCTGAAATGCCAAGCAGGCACGGCCCGCTGGGCCTCCTCATCTATTATGCATCTGGTGGGCAGGCCCCCAGTGGGCAGCTGGCAGTGCATGGGATGGGGGAGCTAGCAGCTGCTTCCTGAGCCCATAGCCGCGACTATAGCTCTGGGCAGGGATCTCCCAAGGCAAATGCCAAGGCAGCTCCTGCCTCATCCCCTTGGCCCAGCCAGGGTGAGGGGGTTCTACTGGGGGCAGGGGCATGGATGCTGGTCCCCAGCTCATAGCGTGGCTATCCTAGCAGCCACTTCTCTTTATTTTATTTTTATTTTTATTTTTTAAGACAGAGTCTCGGCCGGGCGCGGTGGCTCAAGCCTGTAATCCCAGCACCTTGGGAGGCCGAGGCGGGTGGATCACGAGGTCAAGAGATCGAGACCATCCTGGTCAACACGGTGAAACCCCGTCTCTACTAAAAATACAAAAAATCAGCTGGGCATGGTGG